TTTGGAAGGAGCTGTAGCACTGGGGCCATTTGAGTGTTGTGCCTCCCAGCTCTGAGGCAAGCTCAGCCCGAGAGGTGATGAAGGCAGGAACCGAGGGATCCAGAGGCCTGCTTCCCCCTCCCTCCCCCTCCCCCCCTCCCCCTCAAAAATCTTGGTTTCTCCTTTACAGCTCCAGCTCCTGCCTGGCTCTCATCCAACAGCACCAAGAGGCCTCAGGGGAGAAAAGCTAGACATGAAAGCCAGGTCCCCTGGGGGCCGGAGATGGTAGGGCAGAGGATCAGACCTGGCAAGGCCCTGGGAATGGCTGAGTTCACCACAACAGCCAGGGGGCGGGACAAACACAGGGTGGGTGTCATGAGACCTGAGGTCGAGGCCCTGCTGGGTGTGGAACCGGCTGGGTGACCCTGGGCAAGTCCCTTTTCCTTTCTGGCTCCTGGAGTCCTCTGTGTGCAACAAAAGGGCTGTATCAGGGCGGTGGCTTGCAGAGGAAATTCCACAAGGACCCCAAATCCCAGTAGGGGCTGCACAGAATCCAGTTTAAAAACATAAGTCCAGATGGCAGTTTAGACCCGGTTTCCAGATCCTGTCTCATTCGACCATTTCTTTTTTTAAAAATCATTTTATTAGGGGCTCATACAATTCTTATCACAATCCATATACACATCAATTGTGTAAAGCGCATTTGTACATTCATTGCCCTCATCATTCTTACAACATTTCCTCTCCATTTAAACCCCCGGCATTAGGTTTGACCATTTCAACGTGGGTTGTGGATATGAGTTGGGCTGCTAACGGAAAGGTCCGCAGTTCGAAACCACCAGCCACACCCTGGGAGAAAGATGGCGCTTTCTACTCCTGTAAAGAGCGACAGTCTGGGAACCCCACAGGGGCAGTTCTACCCTGTCCTCTAGGGCCGCTGTGACCCTACTCGATGGCAGGGAGTCTGGTTTGTTTTGGAGTGGCTACTGTGATGTGCTGTTTAAATGAGCCCTTAACCCCCTGCCACCGGCCGCCAGCTCACAACTCAACTTTCCTGGCAACGCCCTTGGCAAAGCAGCAGTTAAGTGTTCAGCTGCCATCAGAGAGGCTGGGGGTTGGAACTCCCCAGAGGCTCCAGGGGAGAGAGACCTAGAGATTGGCTCCCATAAGGACGACAGCCTAGGAAACCCCATTTGGCAGTTCCACTCTGGCATGTGGGGGCACTGAGAGTCGGATGGACACGAAGACGCCTACCAACAACGGTGACAACAAAAGTCCACCCCCTGGCTGTTCAAATCCACCGGCTGCTTCAAGGGAAAAATATGAGACTGTCTGATCCCCTTCTCCAGGCATAGCCCACATCAATAGCTGTGTACAAAAGTACAAGGATGTGGTCTCCTTGTCTCAGTTCGGGATGACCTGCGGGCAGCCCTGGCTCTGGGCACCCCTGGGATTGGCTGAAGCTGCTGCAGAGACCACGTGGCAGTCGGGTCCTGCCTCCTGCCTCCGTCCCTCCCTCCTGGCGTTGGGTCTACCAGTAACCTACCTATGTGCAAATCTCAATTCTGGCGCCTGCTTCCCCTGGGACCCAGCTGAGAGCACTTGGCTTTGTTCCCTATGAACATGAGGCAGGAGAGTCATACGGAACATCATCTAAGAGATGCTGGGCTTTGGACTCACAGGCCCTGCCTGCGGGGATCTGACAGTGGAGCTCCTGGTTGGCAGGCTTGGCAGTCATTGGAACCATGCGGTATGGTTAGGTGCAGGGACTCAGGGGCACTCATAGCGACCTGGAAGGAACACTGCCTGCTCCTGCAGCGTCCTCGCGATCGTGTTCTGTTTGAGCCCAGAGTGGCGGCTGTTGTCTCCATCCACCTGGCCAAGGGACTTCCTAAATTTCATGGGCCCTCTACTTTCGCAAGCATGGTCTCCTTTTCCAGAAATTCATCTTTCCTGATAAGTTGTCCAAAGTCCATGAGACGAAATCTCGCCATCCTTGCCTCTAAGGAACATTCTGGTTGTACTTCTTCCAAGACAGATGTGTTTGTTCTTCTGCCCGTCCATGGTGCTGTCCGTATCTTCATTCAAATACACCAGTTCTTCTCTGGGCTTCTTTTTCCAGCTGTCAGATGCACACAGGCTGGGGAAAATGCCCCGGCTTGGCTCAGGCGCACCTTAGACCTCACAGTGACGCCCTTGTTTGCTCCTTGACACTTTCAAGAGGTCTTGTGCAGTAGATCTGCCCAGTGCAATATATTGTCTGATCTTGACTGCTGATTGCATGAGCATTGACTGTGGATCCGAGCAAACGGAAGCCCTTGAGCACTTCCGTCTTTCCTCCATTTATCCTGACGGTCCCGTTGGGAGGATTTTGTTTTCTTTACATTGAATTGTAATCCATCCTGGAAGCTGTGGAAACTGTACATCTTTATGGGATTTGACAGACTCAACTTTCTCCCTGGGACTGGCTAGTGGGTTTGAACTTCTGACCTTGTGGTTAGCAGTCTAATGTTGTACTCCTTGAGCCCCTGAGATGAGTGTTACGCCGCCTCATCCCCAGAGTTTCGGCCTCAGTAAGTCTGGGCCAGGGCCCACGCATCTATATTTTTAAACGAGCTGTTCCTTCTTGTGCTCTCTGTTGGCCCCCACCCCCACACACTTGCCCGGCAGAGATTCTGAAAAAATACCTGTTTTCTTTCCAAGCTACCATGAGTGCTCATTTACCATGAAGACATTACCCCTTAGTGTGGGCTTGGCTTCTGGTCAACACTTAAGTTACCTATTTCCCCTCAACAGACCCCCCCAAACCTCTAGTCGCGCCATCCTTCCACTTCGCCCAACTGAACCTCCAGAGTCAATTTGGACACTCGTTGAACTGCGATTTTTTTGCTTCTGAAAGTCTCTCCACTGCCTCCTCCTTTGGCCACCTGGGCCTGTCTACTCCCCCAGCCCCGCCGTCTGGACTTGTCCAGGAGCTTCTCCATCTTTCCTCTGATCTGGAGTCTCCCGCACATCAGACATTCATCTGCCAGGTGTTTTTAAATGATTCTATCTGCAGACCAACTATCTCATCATTCACTTTATCATGCCCTCTAAATCCAAATTTGAAATAAAAAAATATGTTTCTCTAAGATGGAAACGGTGTATCATTCCCTAGATGGGAAAACAAAACAACGAACAGTATCACACTTGCTATTGGAAAGCAAACGACTGGACCCAGATAGCGTCCCCTGCCCTGCCAGCTGGTGAAGAAGTGGCCTTAGCAAGTCCTTCCAACAACCAAACCCGCTCCCTGTGGCCTTAGCAGAGATCCTGGATGGGGGGGGGGGGGGGGGGGCAGTGTGTCAGAAGAGAACTGTGCTGCCAGGTTTCCCACGGCTGTCATCCAACAGAAGCCTAGAACCTGATCTTCTTCCAAGGAGCCTCTAGGTGGATTTGAACTGCCAGTCTCTCAGGCAGTAGCTGTGAGTAAACGGTTCATGCATGGAATGTCTTACTTAACCACAAATCCAGAGACTTTTTTCTTGAGATAAAGAAGAGGCATCATTTCTCTCCCAGTGAGAACCGGCGTCAGCTGATGCCTCTCTAAGATGCCTCTCTGAAAGCCACATTTCCTCTTAACTCTTCCCAAACAATCACCTTAGAGGCCACCACTGCTGCTCCTCACATATGTGAATTCTCTGGTGGTTTCCCCAAAATGCTTCTGCATCAAGTGAGCCTCAAAAAAGTGCTGCTTTTGACCTGCTTGATAACAGCTTCATGGAGGGGAAACGGCTGGCCCAGGGGGAGTGAAGGCCAGTAGAGGAGCCAAGTCTGGAAGCCTCCTCTCCTCTGGGCTACTTCCCTGACTACCAGGGAGGGGCTGCCCCAAGCCTGGGCTTGCTGCACCAAGGGGGAGGTCCTTGTGTTAAATTTTTCACTCCACCCTTCCCAAGTCACAGGTGCCCAGGTCTCACGGACATAGTCCATTTCAACAATTAACCAGAGGTCCAACTGGCCCTGGCCCCTGCTGTCAGACCAACTTGGCTGCCTTAGCAGGTCTCCATCGGACCACCTTAATCCTGCTGTGCTCTTGGGGAAGGAAGCCCACACCACCTCCCCCCAGCCCTGCACTAAACTCTCAGGAGACCTGGATTCAAATCCTGACTGCCAGCAGCTCCCTTACGGGCCCGCTGGCAAGCACTTGGTAACAGGGAGAGAGGGGAGGGACGGTGCCTCTCTCAGTATATGGCCTTTGGGACATCACTTCAGGATCACCTGGAGCCCTCGGGTCCTCTCGCTCTGATAGCCTGGGGTTTGACCAGCTGCTATGTTTATGGGGTCACCACCCCCTACCCCCCGCCCCTGAGAGCAAGAAGCCCCAGTGTCCTAAGGAGTGTTTCTTTAATGGGAGGGAGGGGGAAAGCTGATGAGTTCTGGCCAAAGACAGGAAAACCTGGCTCCAAGGAGCTGTGGGGATCTCCCATGCGACTTGGTCAGGAAAGAGGGATTGGGGGTGTGCCCAGAGAGCGAATTCTTAGCGTCGAGGACAGAGCCAGCCCAGGGACTCTCATTCAGGTGTTCCGGGAAGAGTCCTCTTCTTAGAGGGCGAGGCTCAGGGTCCCCAAGTGAGGTAGAGACCCAAGTGGTCAAAGGCTGTTGGAGGCGCCCCCCACGATGGACAAAGAGGAGGGAGAGTGCCAAGTCGAACGCAAAAGATCCAACCAAGAAACAGGCTCGAAGCAGGGCAGCCCTGGCCCTGGGTCTGCTAGGGAGGTAGGACCCAGGGGGAAGGTGTGTGTGCTCCACCTGTTTCTGGGGGTTCTGGGGCTGCAGAGGGCTTGTCCTCGGGGCTGGTCCCAGTCTTCCGCAGAAGCACCCGCTGCCCCCCACTCCCCACCCCGCCCCTGCCAGCCGCCCTGTCCAGGTTCCCGCTTGCTAGCAGGTCGCCTGTGTCCTGCCCACTTTTGCCAGGGGCACAGGAAACTGCCGAGGCTGCCGGGGCTGCGCTCTCTGTGCCCTCCCCTCCGCATGCAGCCTACCTGTGTGACCTGGGGCGGGCCGCCGCCAGTCTCTGAGCCTGGATTCCCTATCTGGTTTGCGGGGCTGCGGAGGGGGCTCCGTGGTTGCCCCCAGGCTCCCGCAGGCGGCTGGTGACTTCTGTCCCGCCAACTGTGGTACCGTGGGTAACCTGGGACGGGCGGTGTCCAGGTCTCCCCCCGGCCCGCCCCCCGTGACGGGCCTGCTTCCCTTTCGCTTTCTCTCTCCATTCTGGGGCTTCGGAGAAGCTGGGGAACAAGCAGCGCCAGCACCCTCCTAACCCCGGGCCCTTCACGTGCTTTCTCGGAAGCGTCCCAGAGGTGCCTGGTCTGACCAGCGCCCCCGCGTCTGGGGGAAGGTCCCAGGCCCAGAGCCAGGGCACCTGACAGTTTGCGGGGGAGGGGGAGAAGCTGGGGAGGGGGGGGCGGGGGAGCCCTGACTTGCAAAGGAGCTTAATCTCACTGCTACTGGCCCTCCCTTTCTCTCAGCTCAGCCCAGAAAGTGGCATAACACCCTAGCAGGTCCCTGGGACCGGTACCGTCTGGGAAAACTCTCTGGCTGAATCCTGATACCCTGTAAAGAAGTGTCGGGAGGGGGAGCCAATTCTTCAGGGACCTGGGGCCTGGTAACCTGGGGCCACATTCCATTCACCCCTCCCCCCACTCCCCAACCCCCCCTCTCCAGGTCCCCTGGTGGCAGGAACACTACCCTTCTCCTCCAGAGGTTCTGGACCCCTCCCCTCCGGGAGGAACTCAAAGGGAAGCCGCTTTTCTTTTCCAAGGTTGGATCAAAGTAACCTCTAACTGCTTCCCTCCCTGCCCAAAGACCACCCACTGCACCGTACAACAAAGGTCTTTGGACTATCTGTGGAGTCAGGGGGAGCAGCACGGGGAGGGGGGCTCGGGGTGGGTGGGGGGTGCAGGGGCACCTGGGGAAAGGGGTCTTACCCCTCTCCAGCACGCAACGTGGCCACACCAATAATATTGGTGGCTTTGGTGAGCATGGAGTCCTATAATGTTGCTGTCTGCTCCCGTAAAGATTTACAGCCTCGGACACCCCCAACCCCCAACCCTGGGCCAGTTCTACCCTGTTCTTTAGGGTTACAATGAGTCAGAGTTGGCTCCATGGCAGGGGCCTGGTTTCTTTTCAAGTTTATACTGGACGCAGAACCTGCGACGCATAATAGTGTATTGATCCCTCACTATCCCCATCATACTAGGTTTCCCTAATCCCATTTTACAGAATAGGGAAACTGAGGCTCAGAGAAGGAGGGCTGGCAGCATGTTCCAGCCACAGTACAACTAGCCCACGAGGCAGCTGGGCAGTTGGGATTCGAACCTGCGGCACGGCGCTAAACTGTGTTCAGAGCCCGTGCTGGATATCAGGGCTAAGCTGTTCTCACTCCCTGCCTCCCTTGATCTGCCAGTTCCTCCCAAAGGGAAGAAACTGGGGAGGGGCAGCATGGGCCCTATCCCAGTCCCCTGGGGCCAGCAGCTTCCCTTAGGGCGGTGCCCCACTTTCTGGCTTCGCAGGGATGGGGGTGGGCTCCCCCCTGCTAGGGCACCCCTCAGTGTTTACCCAAAGGCAAGACCTGGCAGAGACCTGTGGTTGGCCTCAGTTATTGAGCTAACAAGCCTCCTACTGAAGGGCTGGCTTAGCAAACCCTTCAGCTCTAATAAAGCCCTCTCCCATTCCAGGAACCTCAAGTGGAAGCAAATAACCCGGTCTGCACTTCTCCTTCCCTGCCCTGCATCCCAACACGTTGACCTGGGGCGCTGGGACCATCTGAGGCCCCCCCTCTAAAAGAAGACCATTCTCAGGCCCCATTTCCTCCACCCAGCCTTCTTACCTTGGGGCTGGGATAGATAGGCTTCAGCAGGGGGCGGAGCCAGGCAGCGCATGGTGTGGGGATAAATTGCAGCCAGGCAGCTGCTCAGGGCTCTGGCAGCCCTTCTCAGTGCCCTCCACCTGCCAGAGGTGCCTTCAGGTCAGATGTTCAGATCAGAAGCAGACAGCCTCTTCCCTAGCCAGGTCCCTACAAAGCCAGGAGCCCGCCAAGGGTAAATCAATATGCAAATAAAGCCAGATAGGGACCAGCACAAAACTTCCCCCCATAAGGTGGCCTGGAGCTGTCAGGTTTCTTCTGTCTAAACATCCTCTAATTTGCCCACACTCCCTTAAGCCATGTCTCTAAGGTTAATTTCAGTTCCTTTTTGCGGACCAAATTGGGTGACCACAGAAGGTAGTGAGTTGTCTGTTAGGGGTACCTTCAACATACTGCCATCCTGAAATGACAGAGCCCACAGTGAACCAAACTGACATTAGCTGCCACCAACTGTCATCTTCTGCAGGATGAGCCCTGGACCACAGCCTGGCAAGGGCTTCACGGTGGGTGGGGCACCCCTGTTGGGGACCAGCAGACTTCTCAAAGTCCACTGTCTTCCACCACTCCTACCTACCCCAGCGTGCCTGGAACTCCCTGAAGTCAGCGAGGGAGGGAGGGAGGGAGGAGATCGCTTGCACTTCTATCCCAGGCCTTGGATTGAGATGAAGTAAATTACATGTAAAAGTCTGCCAGGGCCACACTCAGGTGTGGCATGAGGTAATATGGACTGGTCCAGGGAGAAAGCCAGGCTCTTAGTCTCTGGCCATCCTTCTGGATAGCTTCAAAGAGAATTCTGGGCTTGGGGCTACTGTGTCTTACAACACACAGCATAGAATGCCCTCTAAGCCTGGTGAGCACGGGCCTAACTCTGCTTACAGTCTCCGGGAACAGTTTCACCACACTCACAATTCTGCTTCTAGGCACGGCTGACCCTGGCTCTCTCCCAACTCCACAGCCCCCTCCTACAGCATCGAAGCCTTTCCCCCAATTTATAAACCCTGATTCCCATCACGGAGGACCCAGGAACCAAGGTCCCCCAAATAAACTCACTGTCATCTTGTTGATTCTAACTGATAATGACCCTATAGGGCAGGCTAGAGCTGCCTCTGTGGGTTTCCAAGACTGGAGATCTTCACAGGAATAGAACATCTTATCTTCCTCTCTCAGAGCACCTGGTGGTTTCAAACTGCTGACCTTGGTCAACGTAACCCTCTAGGGTTCCTGTGGAAGCAAGGGAAGCCCAGGTTTATTTGTGCTTTCTAATCTGCAGTGAAACACATCTGAAGTGGTTTGTTACAGATCAGTCAGAAATGGCTTGGTGTTTACACATAAGCCTGTGCTGACCTGACCTTTTGCCCTTGGCCCTTGCGAATGCAAGTTCTCTCATTGAGCAGCTGCAGCCCCATAACCTTGGAGCCTTATGCGAGAATGGCTTCTGACTGGACACGGAGCCCTGAGCCCTGAGTGGGGTGCCGTCCGAGAAGCGGGGGATTGCTAACTGCAACGTCAGCTGTTCAAAGCCCCCGGCTGCTCCTCAGGAGAAAGATGAGGTCGTGGGCACTACGTCCGGCTGTGACCAGTCAGAATCGACTTGCTGGAAGGGGGTCAGTCGCAGGTTCTGCCCCTGGCTTCAGAGCCACCTCACTGGGTGGCATTCCTGTCACTTGTACCTGAACATTGATGTCCTCTGACCGGAGGATGTGAGTAAGTTGGGGGAGATGGTCAGGCCTGTGGTGCCAATGTGGCCTCGGTGTGGTGCCACAGAAATGGGTGAAGCAGAAGCGGGGGCCCTGAGCACCGGACAGAGAGCTGGTGGTGCAGCGTAGCCCCCCTGCTGCTGCTAACTGACTTCAGTTACCCAATGAGCACAGCCAGGCCTGTGCCGTCTGTCATCACAGGGTGATTATTTTGAAAGGCAGATAAGTAAACAGCCAGACAAACATTCAGGGAGTTGGCTCAGTAGACAAATGGCTAAAATGATATTGTCTGGGGTCCCGGAGGTGAGGGCAGCCCATGTGGCCGCATGCAACAGCGGGGAACTAGCCCAAGTGCTTTCTGGGCTGGAATAGGTCACAGGGACAGACTGTCTGGCTTGTCCTGTGGATCCCCTGGGTAGGACGGAACCACCAACCTTATCAGTTGATGGATAACCGACATGCCACCAACCAAGATTCCTAGATCAACTGGGAAATAGGCAGCACTGGACGGGCAGGTATATGGGCGAGTAGGCAGTTTAGTGGGTGGGGTGGTGTTGGTTGGACCAGCAGATGGTTACGTGAGGAGACAAGCGTTGCTCACAGTAAGAGAACCAGAGATCAGACTGCTGAGGGCTGCCGAGGACTCGGACTGGGCACCCAGTCCTGGGGAGCAGGCCACCGGTTTGCCCTGGGAATGCCGGGGCAAATGCCAATGTTGGGGTACACATGCCTTTCCTTCTGGGACTCCGGGGACAAAGTGAAGGTGCTGTGGGCTTAAGCTGGCTGGGAAGCAATGCAGGAGTAACACCCATCACCCCCTCCCCTCAAGGGTTCAGTGGGAAAGGAGGCGTGGGCTAGGACAGGGGAGGGGTGCTACTTGCCCAGAGCCTTCCCCCTCCGCCCAGCCCCTGCTGGAGGAAGGAACCTGGAAGCAGAGTTTGGCAACCTGTGGCATGCGGTACCCTTTCCAATAAACTGGGGGACATCCTGGATGGAATCTTTGTTCCTTGGCTTACAGAGAGCATCCTCTTGGCAAAACCAACACAACACAAACAACGAGCAGCAACGGAAATGGAAAGTGGAGCGGAACCCGAGAAAGCAACCAGCAATAAACCCCGGCCCAGCCTCTGGGAAAGCACGCCTGCACAGAGGCTCTGCTGGGCATCTTGTTCCATGTCCAGCCCCTGCCCTCCTCCCCTCCCCTAGCCCCCACGCCAGCCTAAGCCTGTGGAGACCGCACCAGCTCTCCTGCCCCAGATGGGTGTGCCTCCGGGCTCTGGGGTGGCTTACTGCTCCCATTTTACAGGTGGGGAAGCTGAGGCCCAGAGGGTCCCCAGGACCGACTCCGAGTTGGACCCCATTGGAATGGAGGTGCCAGGCCCGTCGCTCAGGCATTCTGAAGACACAGGCCATGCGCTTTCCCAGAGTCCCCACTGGGGTCACTGACCCCAGGGGCCCA